CCCACCCCCCACCATGGTGAACACTAGTCTTCATGAACACACACCCTAAGATGTTCAAAGGTCACAAAAGCATTATTCTACAAGAATTAAGAAAAGACGTTTGAGTCTGTTCAACCTCAACAAGAGCCGCGTTCACACATCTGACCTTTGACCTGCAAATTCAAACAGTCGTCCAATAGAAACTGTTCAAAACTGATGAGTCATTCTATAATAATAATAATAATAATAATAATGATGATTCTTGTTTCTTAATTGTTTATGACACCAGACTACAAACTGCAGCCTCCCCCTCACGGACTGTGTTACACCTGTCCATCATCACTGCTCAGTATTTCGTAATCAGTGAAATCAGACCTGTGACATCACTTCCTGTTTTTGTTTAGAGTAATTTGATTAGACCGAAGGCCGATCTGATCGACGTCTTAATGAGAAAGCTGCAGCTGCTGAGCAGAGGATGAAAAGTGAAATTAACCCTTGGTGTGTGTGTGTGTGTGTGTGTGGGGGGGGGGGGGGGGGGGGTTGGTGATTTTGGTGAATTAACTGATCAAGAGAAAAATGGAATTGAGAAGAATTGTGATAATCAGTCATAACTTAAGGAAGTTTGTCCTGCAGCCTGATGGCAGTGGGAACAAAGGATCTTCTGAACCTCTCTGTTCTGCCAGAACGTGACGAGTTGCTGCTTTTCCTTGTTTAATATATTTTTAGAAACTAAATGATTTTGAGTTTTGGACAGTGATGGCAGAACATCACAGAGCATCTAATGAAATGTGAAAGAAATGAACCTTCATGGAGCAGGTCTGAAGTTTAGCACCAGCTTTAGATTTGGTTATCAGTGCAGCAGCCTCACAGTTCATGCCTTTGTTTCAACACGCTGAGTCAGAGCTGCTGATAAGTGTCTAAGACACGTGTCCGACAGGCTGCCGGAGCTGAAGGTGACAGTCGCCCTCGAGGACGAGCCGGTGGCCTGAGTGTCGGGACGCAGAGCTGATCCTGCAGAGTGAGGCCTGAAGCAGAGTTACAGCGACTGTCCGCCTGGATCCCTGACAGCAGAGACGAGCTGAGACCTGCAGAGTCTGACACAACCACCGCTCGTCGTCAGCCTCAGTTAGAACCAGATTCGAGCAAAAACAAATCTGTGGTTTCTGCAGATGAAACCGGTTTAACTGCTAGGCAACAATTCCTCCAGCTCCTTTGTAAACTTGTGAAAACTCTGCAGGAGAATTCAGGTTGGTGAATGCAAAGAGAAGATTTATTGGGAATTACATCAACAGTGAAGTTACAGACAGATTTTGGCTGTTTTGGTTAAAATTCTTGCCTTTAGCTCGTAGTGGATACTTACTGGAGCTCAAGGCTTCGAAATGTCACTCTGTATATTGCTGGACTTAATTAAAGCATGATTATCTAATTAATGAAGACATCAGTGCGCAGAGGAGGAGGTCATTATATAAAGCTCCATGTTTCTTCTTCTGTGTTTTATTTGAAGTGTTGATCCATCAGAAGATATAAAAACCATCTCAGTGTAGTTTTACATCTCCTCTCTCAGGCTTCTCTCTGGAGCTCTAGTGACAACAGGTCAGTGAGCCAATCAGAAGAGAGGAGGCTCTGAGCCTCTCTTCTGATTGGCTGACTGTTTTCTGAGTGATCCAATTAAAATACAGCAGATTTCAGGTAAAAACACTCAGAGAAACCAAATCCTGCAAGGTTTGGATGGTGGGTCCAGGTGGGCGGGGCTTGGTGACTGCTTCGTTGTGACATCACAAAGTTCCAGAAGTCCTGACGGCTGGTTTTAAGGCTCAGTTTCTGAATACAGGCTGTGTGCATTTCTCTGTGGACTGAGGCTTTGATACTTTCACAGTATTAATATAGAAGCTAGAACTGATCTATAATCACACTACACATGGACACAGACCGTCACACTGGAGGAGCTTTAATAATAAGTTTTAAGAAAACGGAAACACGCCTGGTGTTTGTTATCCGAACCCTTCAGTCCACCACTTCCTCTCACTCACTAAAACAAACGTGTCAGTCGCTGTGGCTGTTTCCATCAGAGACTTTTATGTTAATGTAACTCCTTGTAGTTTATTTTCTACAGTGATTGTAGAAGTCGGTGTGTGACGTTAATCTCTCTCTGCATGTTTCACCTTGTGCTGCTGCAGCCTTCATGTTTATGGGAAACAAGAACTTTATTTTGGAATTACAAAACAGGCAGATGAAGCCAGCATGTCTAAGAAAAATAAAAAAGACTTTGCTGGAGTGTCCTTGAACGCAGCAGCAGCAAGTGCAGGCGCCGTTACTGACCAAACTGTTGAAGCGACTTGATGTGACTGATGTGACATCACGCCGCATCAACTGAGCTTATCTCATGTCTGCAGACCAAGGGTGTGTGTGTGTGTGTGTGTGTGTGTGTGTGTGTGTGTGTGTGTGTGTGTGTGTGTGTGTGTGTGTGTTTGTGTACATGTCCGGTACAAACATTCATATGTTGGCGACAAACCAGAGCAACAGAATTGACCAGTAAGTTCACGTCCAACACACAAGCTGCAGAGAGATTTTGGCTGCTGTTAGTGTGTGTGTGTGTGTGTGTGTGTGTGTGTGTGTGTGTGTGGGTGTGTGTGTGTGTGTGTGTGTGTGTGTGTGTGTGTCACAACAGACACCCCACCCTGCCCGGAGGAATGCTGTGAATCATGCGAACTGAGAGGAATGCTGTGAATCATGGGAACAGGTTGCCAGTAAACTGCAGAGTTGACAAATTTCATTTTCTTCTTCTTGTTCTTCTTCTTCTGTGACGGAGGTTGAAGTGAAACTAGCAGAGTTAACGGTGGTCCAATGAGCGGCTCGAGGACCACAAACAGGTCGTGGTGTGGTCGTCAGTAAAAAACTTAATATTAAAATCTATCAAGGCGGGAAAAGACCCTGTAATATCCTGATCCTGCAGCTGATGAACCCACAGTTGCTTTATTTTATTTCCACTTCCTCCGCTTCTGTTTGAAGCTCAGCCCGTCGCCCGCAGCGCCGTGACCTCACTCGACCGCGTTGACAGCCCCTCCTCCGTGTCGCTGATGGCGACCTTCGTGTCATCGTTTTCAGAGCGACTAACCGCTGTGTTGTTTACAGTGTCAGTTCACTTCTTGGGAAGTTAAACTCTTGTGTGAGTGCTGTCTTCAGCTCGGCCCTGATAGCTGCTGAGATGTCCATTTCTGCTTCTGGCCGTGGGGAGGGAGGTTGGACGCCACGCTCCGTAGTTCTTAAGGACTGTTGTATTTGTATCTTTGGAGCTTGAAACAACGTTAAACGGCTCCACTGACTCACGCGTTAGAAGATTCTACTGACAGTGGATTTGAGGAAACGGTGCCCTGAAAAAAATA